TTATACAACGAAGATACATTAGGGCAACTGATTACTGAATCTGCTAATAATAAAAAAACATCGCAGTGGCTGGAGGTACGGTAGCCGTCGGTCGTTCAAGCCCCTTTTTTGCGTTAGGGTTAGGGTTAGGTTTAGGGTTATGGTTAGGGTTAGGTTTAGGCGTTCTAGCTCATCTAAACTCTCCAAATCGTGAATTTATTTCCAAGGCCGTTATTTCGCAAATCTAGCGCCACCGCCGCCATCTTTGTCTCGTTAAGTATGAAAGCGAATGGACTCCCGTACCCGTAGCCTCCAGACATTAAGATACGGCTACCGTACCCGTAGCCACTGCCAAAAAACATACCATACGAGCTAGGTTGTCTCAACGTAGTAAATGATCTCGACATGCATGCGCGTACTTGGAAGGTCTCAGAGTAGTTATTTTCTCATCGTCCTCACAGCCGCTAATCCAGGCACGTGCGCCCTGCTTAAAACGTACAGGGAAAGCATGTCCTCCCCTCCTTCCCACAATGTAGTACACAATATTCGGTTGGCATTGTCCCAGGTAAAAACAACACCGAGTTGAAAACAGAACACGGTACGTACAGTACAGTTTTCACTTGTAAACACCGTGCAGCAGTTGTTGCGCAGGACCGAGTTGCTTATCAGCGCCCCCTATATGCCTATTGTTTTCAATTGTACCTCATTAGCCTAACTAGTATGTTATTTCTATAGTATTTACTGAGCAGTGGCTCCGAGTGGCTGAACTATGCTGACGTCACGCTCGGGATTACGAATCCTAGATACGGGTCTTAATTAGCAACAACGGTTTCGTCGCTCGAAACTATGGTTTCTCGAATTATGATACAAACGGCGTGGTTGAAAGTGGGTTTCTTGCTGAAACCTAGGTTCTTGCTCCCAAAACCTAGTTTCTTGCTCAAGAAACTAAGATTCCAGCTATAACTGCGGTTATAGGGCTAGAAACCAGGTTTCATGCCATGAAATCTAGTTTCATGGCAAGAACCCTGGTTTCTTGAGCAAGAAACTAGGTTTTGTGAGCACGAAACCTGGTTTCGTGCGAGGAACCATGGTTTCTCTAATTATGATACAAAATGCTTGCCATAAAGGTGAGCTACAGTGTCATTGACACTTTCATTGACTTCGCAGTGGCACATACCTACCATAATGTGTGGTGAGTGCCCCCCCCCCCGGGACCTGCAGTAAGAAAACAGGAGTGATTAATATGACATGCAATTCAAGTGAATTTATCACCTTCTGAAGTACTTACTAACCTTAGATATGGTACTATACTACTACATGATTGGCTAATTTATATTCGTAAAATAGAATGTTAATGAAATGTACCTAAACATATATTTATTTTTTTCAATTGTGTTTTTAGTGAGCCTTAGCATCGGTGTTATGATGAAAGTCAGTATGACTTAAAATATGAAAATTTAGAATTTATTTAATCAATCTACAAGAAACTAGGCAATTTAATATTTTTACCTGATTGAAATTTTTTCGTGGAATTGCCCATATAGCTTTATAACTCCCCATACTTTATATCCCAATGAATGCAGAAGGCAATATTATTTAATTGGATGGCTACTTTAAAATCAGATGAGTACACGACCATGTCACCATTGTGCCTTTCATACTTGTCTTTATCATGCCGAGTTGACGTTGGGCCCATGTCAGTGCAACGTATTTATGACAATCATATGATATGACATTTGGTGTATTGAAATATTAACCCTCTCTATGTCTACCAATTGCTGCAAGCATTTTATTTTTCAGTGGCGAACTAGTGAGCGACTTCTTAATGGCGATACGTAATGTTGTTTTCATGTTTAGAGAGGTGAAGTGCAATCCGTTTAATATAGTTTCATGTTTCGTCAGTGATCGCTGAACGTTAGATGTGATTGAATTAGCTGTGGCGACTGTCGTTAGATGCCATACAGCCGCCGTATTCATGTAGCGTAAAGGAGATTTACCCAATTCTCTCTGAGTAGTTGTAATAACGTGTATCAGCTTTCTGGCTCTTCAACTCTTGCCGAGTCCTCTCATCAAATCATATTTCGTGGCATTTTGACAAGCATTTGCTGATTGTGTTCCATTTCTGCACAGGCACGGCCTTCTTATGTTACTTGATCCAATCATGACATCAATTATAACAAAATAGTCATTGCATTAAATGACACTAGAGCCCAGATGTGACATCGGTGATCAGGTACAGAAAACTGTTGATTTTCTTTGCAGTTTATATGAAAGGTAATGTCAGAGGTGAATAACGGAACCTAATACTTTGCATTTTTATGTTACGTTATTTGAAGAGTTTGTTGTCTTGTGATGTACAGCTGAAGACTTCGTATTCGTATGTGTAGTGCTTTGCAAACTGTAAAGGTAACTATCATGATAGGGCTCAATTCATCAAGTATTTCTGCTTAATCGTCCCGATCCTAAAATCGTCTGCGCATCTGCCTTCCATACCTCAGAACAAGTTCGTGTTATGGTATATGATTGGTGAACTGAATTAGATACTAATATTATTAGTAATGAGTCAGTAGAGTTTTTTGAAAGTCGGTTAATCATGCCTCATTACCTTATATGTCTGTCTTAACCCTTCATTGTATTTTAACAGTGCCATCCAGGCCTCAAATTATTAAAAAACAATTCGAGGGCTCTTGTTGTGCTTACGGGGGCTACTTTTTGTCACATAAAATTACATAAGTTTAGAGTTAGTAGTTTGTATCATGCCCCTCAATAACTGTAATACATATGTGCATAACACTGTTTAATGTGCCTTTACTCTCTAAAACTGAATGTAAATTGATGTGTATAGTATTTTTACATGTATTTGTGTTATTGTATCGTCGGCGGGGATACTATGGTTTCATGTCTGTCCAGCCGCCACCGCCGCCGCAGACACTTTCCCTTCCGCTCTATAACTCGACCCCTAATTGACCTAGCCTGACCAAACATAGTCTACTTACACATCTTGGGGAGAAGGTGCGCAGCGTACCAAAACCAGGTCACTACGACCTTTATTTGACCATAACATTGACCATGATCATATTTCCCTTCCGCTCTATAACTCGGCCCCTAATTGACCTAGCGCTACCAAACTTGGTATACTTACACATCTTGGGGAGAAGGTATGTCGCATACCAAAACCAGGTCACTGCGTCCTTCATTTGACCTTGACATTGACCTTGATCATATTTTTCTTCCGCTCTATAACTCGGCCCCTAATTTACCTAGCGCTACCAAACTTGGTATACTTACACATCTTGGGGAGAAGGTGTGTCCCGTACGAAAACCAGGTCACTGGAACCTTTATTTGACATTGACCTTGACCTTCATCATATATCCCTTCTGCTCTATAAGTATAACTTGGCCCCTAATTGACCTAGCGCGAGCAAACTTCGTATACTTACACATCTTGGGGAGAATGTGTGTCGCATACCAAAACCACGTCACTGCGGCTTTTATTTGACCTTGACCGTGACCTTGGTCATATTTCCCTTCTGCTCTATAACTCGGCCCCTGATTGACCTAGCGCGACCAAACTTGGTATACTTACACATCTTGGGTAGAAGGTGTGTCGCGTACCAAAACCAGGTCACTGCAACCTTTATTGGACATTGACCTTGACCTTGACCTTCATCATATTTCCCTCCCGCTCTATAAGTCGGCCCCTAATTGACCTAGCACGAGCAAACTTTGTATACTTACACATCTTGGGGAGAAGGTGTGTCGGGTACCAAAAACTTATTTAACTTTACCTACCTTCTACGTCCTTACAGAGATATTTCATTCATACTAGATCAGGGGGGATACATGTAGTTGGCGACAACTGTCCTTTCTAGTTTTTGTTTGTTTTTTGAGCTAATTTGGAGTACTCTGTGGATTGCAAAGGTGTTTGTGAATTGTGAGTCCTGACTCCTGAGTGACTGCTGCCTAATTCGTATTGGGCTGTAGTATCTACGCACGTGAAACACTGTCTATTACGAATAGCGCAAATAGTGGAGTGTCTTACGATCCAAGGAGGATCGATGTTTACCACTGTGACAGTGCACACTGCAGCTGCATGCATATGCACATGCATATGCACATGCACTTTTGAGTTGAGTATTTTAATCTTTGGGGACACGAAAGACTAAAATACTTACTTAAAAAAAGAGAAACATAAACTTCAAATTGCAAAGGGTTGAACTATTCAGTCTCTGTCACTGTATTTGTGCAAGTACAATGCTAAGGCAAAGTAAAGTGGTTGATAAGTTAATCTATCTGCCAACTGATTAGCTAACACGTACATAATTTTGCTGCCGTCCTCTGATCCCAGCGGTGCTCACCCCCTATAATGAACGTGCCCCACGCGACTTTTAAACAATCCTGCACCCCCCCCCCCGTACATCAATCAATATGCCGCCCCAGGCACGTACGTATACACAGCCATGCTGTGCTGTCGTGCGATAGCCACCCTTCACAGTCGCTAGAACTGTTTTTCATCAATGTTTGCTAACACGTACATAATTTTGCTGCCGTCCTCTGATCCCAGCGGTGCTCACCCCCTATAATGAACGTGCCCCACGCGACTTTTAAACAATCCTGCCCCCCCCCCCCCCGTACATCAATCATTATGCCGCCCCAGGCACGTACGTATACACAGCCATGCTGTGCTGTCGTGCGATAGCCACCCTTCACAGTCGCTAGAACTGTTTTTCATCAATGTTTGGATATATAACGTAAGGAACCAACATTTGATTAAAGTTTTAGACAATTATTTTTACTCGCCAACATGGGTGAGTCAGTTTTAGCGTTTACTCGCCCAATATTATTTTCACTCGACATTGGCGAACGGGCGAGTGCCAAGCTCGTTCGCTGAACACACGCCGTGTTTGCAGTTGATCGTGACTTTTTTTCTTTCTTGTGTAGCACAGCGAGTCGGCAATTCATTTTCCGATTTGAAAGTTGTACACTGACGATTTCGAGTTGCCGAATTGCCGAATTGTACGAACTTGGCAACTTTGAAGTTTGGAAACTGACAATCGCCAGTGTAAGCGCAAAAGTTGTACGTCCAACCGATCGATAGCAGCGAGTCGGAAGATTAGAACATATGTTCTAATTTTGCCAACTCGGAGCAGGCGAGTTGGACGTTTTTTTGCCAAGTGGCCAATCAGAGAACAGCAATCAGGGGAGTGTCCCTCCACCCTAGAGGGAGAGCACGTTTTTGCTTTAGGCGCGTCACGCTGGTGGCATGTAATAAGTGCAAAAATGCGTATCCGCGTCACCCCGCGCGCACGCTACGGGTCAAATGTTGAAACGTTTGCCACCTCGCGTCGATAACGTAAGAGCTTTGAACCTATATAGAGAGGTTGGTAGAAAGAAGAAAAACGCCAATTTGACTGCATAAAATCGTCAGTGTAAACCCAGCTTAAAAGAAAAACTAAACTCACGGCCGTCACGGTCACGGCATGATGTTACAATCACAGAAAAATATTACGTGGGCGATTTTTTATCCTCTTCAAAAAAAAATCTCCCTCGTAATTTTTCTTTTGGGGGCAACTTATTCTAGCGTTTACACTATCGATTTTTGTCAGCAAATCGTACCGTTTTCAAGTGCATTCCAACTTGCCCCCGACTTGACCCAAGTGCATTCCAACTAATCGGCTGAAATTCGATTGTGTTGGAGTCGGAGTCGGTGTCAAGTCGCCGAGTTGGAGAAATAGAACGTGTTCTATTTTGCACGACTCGGACGATTTGCTGACAAAAATTGATTGTGCAAACGCAGCTTAAGTTTCCCGGGCGATTCGCCCTTCTCCCCCGTGTATTTTGAGGCCTGGTGCCATCCCAAGGCAGCTTTATTGTCATTTTCTTCTAAACATGAGTTGCAGCTGGAGGGATGTTCTTTTTTTCGGTTTAGGTTGCCCCCGAACAGTGCTGATGAATGGTCCTATGATGGAGAGGCTGAATACCCGTGAAAATTGTCTGCTCCTGCTTGGCTTCTTATGTACTGAGCTGATGGCAGCACGCATGGAGGTGGACCAGAACCCAGAGAGGAATAAACTTATCGTTCAAGTCGTATGTTTACTCCCTACATTATTTTTTACTGTCAATCCTGTATAATATGGCTAATAGTGATCTTTTGCTTACACTTGCAGGGCGTCAAGTTTCTATTTTTAGCTCATCTGACATAGTCTGATATGCAGCTTGTAGAATCGCATGATTGTCCGTCCGTCCGTCCGTCCGTGCGTCCGTCCGTCCGTCAACAGTTGGGCACAAATCTTAACCGCTCGACGTACGGTCACGATATTGGGGGAACGAGTTGGAATGTCAAAGCTGGGGGTCAAAGGTCAAAGGTCAAGAGGTGTAAAAGAAAAGGGAACATTCCCTCCTTAACTTAAGGTATAGGGAGGAAATGCAGAATTGCGGCACAAATCTAAACGGCTCGACCTAGGCTCGTGATAGTCGGTGTATAGCATCATGGTAGGAAAAGCCATCACTGTGCTGAAATTGGAGGTCACAGATGAAAGGTCAATGGGGCACAGGGCAGATTTTATACATTTTCTGAGGACATGGTTTGACGGGAGCAATTGAAAAACTTTTTTGTTTCAGCGGTGACCTACCATTTTTATGGCTTTATTGAAAGGACCATGAAATGTACTTTCCGCTGACATGCGAAGAGTAAGTGTCGGATAACCTTTTGACCCTCAAGAAGAGGGTTAAACATGGATTTGTTGACTGTTAACAAAGCAATGAACTGCTTTTGCTATTAGAGCCCCCTCCCCCCACCCTCCCCCTCCCCCTCCCCCCGCCCTTTCCCCCACCTTCCCCCACCCCCTCTCCCCTCCCCCCACCCTCTCCCACCACCACCACTACGCTCGCGCTGGACGCATATCCTTGATAACATGTTAATATAGCGAAGTCATTAAAGTTACACAGCTGTATCTTTACTACTGTACTACCAGTAGGTATAGCCTATCATAGATTTTAGATCTGTATTAGTAGTATCCTAGATATATGCTCTGATCGCGAACGCGGTGGCAGGAGGGCGCACTTGATTCGGCCAGTGAATTTATCAGAAG